AATGTTAGTGAAGATTGTATTTAAAACATTTAATCATGTAAATATTTCTATAAGTATAATCCACAACTATTCAATTAGAAGTGTAGATAAAGTTTCTCTGGTTAATAAGCATATGGTGGAAAAGTGTAACATAAATTGTAACTGAATTATTTTTTTAATGTCCACAAGTACTAGAAGCTGCCCTATTTATTGTAGTACTACAAACTATTCTATTTATTATATTTATTTATTTATTAAATATTATATACAAAACAAATCTTGTATTGTTTATGTGTGACCTTATAGTGTATGTGATTATATTTGCACCAAACACATGTGCTTATAACATGGAATGAAGTGCAACTAGAAGTCAATATGTGAAACCTACTTCAACAATGTTTTGATTCACTTTATTTGATTGATAAGTAGGCATAGACGTAGAGAGGAGGAACAAAAGTTAACATGGATATAAATAACATAAAATAAATCAGTTGTTATTTTGGCAGAGTGTGTAGGCTCACATACATAATGAATGACTTGTGTGTCTGTAAATAGAAATAAAATGAGAAGTATTTACACCGGGGGAGTCTTGACATCACTGCTAATATGACATCATAGATCACCTACAGCTTTTAAAGGCCACACCCACCTGTTGCATCATATGCTCTTAATTAACTCCGTAGTTACAATAAAGACGTGCTGTAACCTCAGGTGGATACTTTATTATAGCTATGTATGCCAGACAGTGAGACAAGAGGTGATGACTCATCAAGCAGAATATCTTCAGACAGACTTTGAATAAATAATATGCATCTAAAACAGTCTAGTTTTCTGTAAAATGTGAAGCTGTAAAATTTATCAGTTTTTGGTTCTTTACTGTGTGATATATTTGTCGACACCGAGATGCAGGTTTTTAATTAAAAAAAACACATTTTTATACTGTGAACATTTTGAAGCTTTCAAAAAAATTGCTAAAAAGAGAAATTTTATATTATTTGTTTTATGATATGGTATTAAGTTCAATTACTTAAGAATTCACCCATCTAAACATATAACAATTGATGGTCGATAAGTTTTGATGTAACACAATTGTAACAATTCAGCTATCAGTTTTCATTTGTAAGGTTATTTGTACAGATACATGCAAATCATAGGACACAATTCTAATGAGTTTAATGGCTAGATAAACAAGCAATTCTTGCAGTACCGTAAAATCTGTATTAGAAGCCACATCCCTTATAGAAGCAGCACCCATTCTTTTTGAACAATTGAGACCAAAAAATTCACAATTTCTCATATGTGTAGATGCTCTAATAGAAGCCGCACTCCTCTGTTGCATTGTACCATTTTAATAGAACCTGCTTCTTTTAATACAGATTTTACAGTAATAGTTATTACAATGCTCTAAGCATTTTACGCAGTTGTAATTTTCACTGTATAAAAAAAGATATGGTCTTACTGTAAAATATAAATCTGCCTCCACATGTTAATTACTTAAACTAACTTGTAAGTTAAAAGACAAATGACATCAAATCAGAAACAAATTGGAAGTACCAACATGTGGGCAGACACTCACAAGCACCGCCCGCCCACAAAGTTTCTCATTCGTTATATTTGTATATATATATTGTTATCCAAACCATGTTACCTCAAAAAAATGTTTTGTTTTCATCCACAAATTTTGAATTAGGTGCATCTGTAATACATAATGCATAAAATTAAAACGAATGTTTCTCAAAGTGTTTAAATTCACTGAGAAACCTGGGTACCTCACTGAAAATATTTTGCAAAAAAATATCACTTTTTATGTGATACAGCCATTTTCTGATATCTCCACAGTACCAAATTCCATATATGATTGATTGATGGATACAGGTTGACCTTTGACTTCACAAGCTAGATATTTGCTCTATTATTAGTGCATCTCTAATAGAAGTACATACAAATTCGATGTATATTGTATAATTAAAATAATACTTAGTTTGTCCATAGAAAAGATTCTTTAATCATGCACTTACTAATACTAATACAATTTATTTGCTGTTGAAATTATGCAGAAGATTTGTACAATACAATGTGATGATGCACAAACACGGAACTACAAAATTTAAAGACAGAAACAAATATTGATCGCACTGAAAAACACTAAAAGGTGGATGTAGAAGGATGAATACGACCTTTATAATATAAAGACAAGCAGCCTATCGGCTGAGATAGCTCCGCTGTTAGCAATGCACGTGTCAATTAAAGAACAGAAGATATCATTAGAAAATGAACAAATCTGAGAGAGGCCTATTTGACAAGAATTTCTTTTTACTAAAAATGACAAAAATATGCATCAAAAATAAAGAATTAAAGATATCATCACGAATGAACAAATCTGAGAGAGCTCCATATGAGGTGCCCATATATGTGATATCAAAACATTCTGACTTTTCAACAAGAAGTCAAAAATATTCCTTTTTACCAAAAATAGGCATTAAATTTAGAGAATCATCGCAAATTGAACAAATCTAAGAGAGGTCTGCCCACGGTACATATACATCAAGAATCAAAGCAATAAGAATTGTAGTTTTCAAGAATACTAGTAAGTCGAAAAAGTAAAAAGTTCACATAGACGACGATCACTCATATGATAAACTCCACTCGACAAAGTCGTCAGTGGAGCTAAAAACTCATTTGTGGGTTTTAATAAATATGACTACAGGCTAACTCATTGGATCCTCTGATCCCTATATATATAACAACATACAGTTCACAAAATCACTTCACCGCCTGCCGACTCCATGTATATCTTCACTGGAACTTCTTCTTTGTAGCAGTGTACCGTTCCATATACTGAAAAATAAATAACATTTGAAAACAAAATTATGTATATTAACCTTTGAATACCAGAACAGAAAGCACTGATTATATAATTCTGCTAATTAAATTTGTTTGTGCCAGGCGACAGTTCTGGACATTTTTTATGTCACTGTTTTCTCTCCTGCCATGTCAATGAATATTATAATAATAATAATAACAAGCCATGCATGGCACAGTCCCCGTTAGTTATCGAATTTAAGATATATAGTTTTGTTTATAGTAATATAGCTGGAACATAAACATGTCATGAATATGATTATGATGACTGTTTAAAATTAAAATGATTGACATTTGTATCTGATCGTCAAACAAGTATTGAGAGATATTGCTTTGGAACAGCATTAACTAAAACAAAAATCAGCCATTTTGAATACATGTATAATGAATATTTAAAATTTAAACATAATCAGTCAAAGCAAGTCAGAGATATGGCACTAGAACCACATTCATTAAAACAAAAAGGTCAGCAGTCGGCCATTTTGAATCTTATCTGAAAAACAAGTCATTGTCAATGACACGTCCCCGTTCCGTTCATATTTGAGTGACATATACATTCAAAGCAGATCATGACGGCCATTTTCGGCCTTAAAGCGGCCGCCATTTGACTATCGTTAATGAGATCATGAAACAAATGCACATACATATTTGTGACATGATGTACCTTGTGTGTGTGAAGTTTGAACTCGATCAATCCAGGCATGTCTCAGATACGGATCCAGAACTGAATTCTTTAAAACAAAATGGCCGCCAGTCGGCCATTTCGAACTTGATCCGAAAAAAAAATGACGCGCATCAAGGTCCTATTATGTTTAATGTATGTACCAAATTTTAACAAAATCCGTCCATGCATAACTGAGATTTGGGTTCGGAATGGTGAAAATGTGCGATTTCAATGCATTTTCGGCCTTAAAGCGGCAACCATTTGGTTATTGTTAATGAGATCATGAAACAAATGCACATACATATTTGTGACATGATGTACCTTGTGTGTGTGAAGTTTGAACTCGATCAATCCAGGTATGTCTCAGATTGGGATCCAGAACTGAATTCTTTAAAAAAAAAATGGCCGCCAGTCGGCCATTTCAAACCCCATCCAAAAAAACAATGACGTGCATCAAGGTCCTATTATGTTTAATGTATGTACCAAATTTGAACAAAATCTGTCCATGCATAACTGAGATCCGGGTCCGGAATAGTGAAAATGTGCGATTTTGATGCATTTTCGGCCTTAAAATGGTTGCTATTCGGCTATCGTTAATCAGATCATGAAAAAAATGCATGTGCATATGTCCCATATAATGTGTGATGTATGAGTGAAGTTTGAACTTAATCTATGCATGTTCGAAATACAGGTGATCACGGACGCACAGACGCACGGATGCACGGACGCACACAGGGCAAAACATAAGTCCCCGTTTTCGGACTACGTCCGAACGGGGACTAACAAAATGATGTGCATCAAGGTCCTATAATGTCCAATGTATATACCAAGTTTGAACAAAATCCATCTGTAAACAGCCAGAAATGCTTGATTTTGATGATTTTTTAGTACAAAAATGGCCACCATTCGGGCCATCTTGATCAGATCGTGAATGTGCATATGCATAATATCATGTATGTGTGAAGTTTGATTGTGATTGGTTCAGCATTTTTTAAGATACAGGTCCAAATGCTTGCACGCACACATGCACGGAAGAACTGACGCACGGACACACGGAGGTCAAAACATGAACCCTTGTTTTCAACTG